AAGCAGAATAAAATGTGTGCGTTGGGGACTGGGGCGCGGAAATATCATCTCATCACACAGAGCGGCAAAAGATTTCACACAAAGAAAATGACCGTGTGCACAAAAGATTTGTAGATCTGTCTGCAGAATTACGGGCAGGGAATATTTTAGAGATAGGAGTTCGCTTCCAAAACCCATATGTCCGTTGTTATTATCGTTCGACATTCTTATTTTCGATCTCATTTATTCTATGTTTTCACTTTCGGTGTTTTGAGTTTTCAACCTTCGGTCATACATTCTAAAATTTTAATTGTTGAACTCCATATTTTTCCTGATCATCATCATCATTATTCACAGCGTCATCAGTCGTACCTATTCGAATACCACCCACTGTATAGATGTTATCAATACTAAATTGAATTTTTCTTAAATGTAAAAATCCTAAATTAATTCATGCTAATAATAATTGAATGATAATTTGTACAATTTGTATAAATATCATGTTCGGATGAACCTATTATTCCGTAAACACTCAGGTCAATACAGTTAAATATTGAATTTTACAAACGAAACATGAAGAGTTAATACTTGTTCATTCAATAGACGAAATAATACTTCTAATTTAGGCGGAGGAGGTAATGTTAATGATTGCATTGATGTACTGAATGAAGCATTATATAATGAGTTATCACACGAAAAGATTGAACTACCAGCATTCTCAAATGGATATTGTCCGACATATGCATTACTGAACATATAAGCAAAAACAATTAGAACAAATACGACCATTGACATTAATCCTCCTAGCCATAGTTCACTTTCACCAATTAAATTATTGTCGGGTGAACGTGGATAAGCAACTGGTTGAGTAATAACAGACATTTCTGTTGGATCAACTTCACTTACAGCACCTATGGACAAAATGATACTGAATTTTTATATGGGGTGCAATCCTTGTATGATATGGGGTGCAATCCTTGTATGTTCAATACTTGTATGAATTGTATAACCTGGATTATTCGTGCCCCTTAGACAAAGATTTTCACATGTGCTAAATAAAAATCGACCAATCGAATTAGAGTTTTTATATGTTCCAGCACTACATAAGTCTTCCGACGGAAAATAAATTGGATTACTACCAACACTAGTCTTTGTATTTGAATAGTGACCGGGAGTAGCAGGTAAAATAATATAGACTATGTCATTGACATCATGAAAAAAAACTGACTGTGATATAATTAAAACATTTATAAATGTTTGAACTCATTGGTGGTTGATAAAGTGATTGGTATTTATTCGGAAAAACAGAGAAAACAGTTTTAAAATCAGGGTCATTTGTAAACTACTACATTTCAATTTTTGAAGATTTTCATTGAGTATAGTCTGATGAATAGCTATTTGCTAAAATAACTGCTAACTGCTGTTGTCTCATGTAACCATTCCAGCTGATTTTCCATATCTAATTATTCGTCCGCCATTGGTACGAAAATCAGTATAGTTAAATGTTAATGATGGAGTTATTGATAAACGGATAATCATACTCATATATTGAATTCAAAATAGAACAATATATTGTTATTACAGATCTATGTCACAGATAATCTGTCTTATCGTTAATACTAACTGACATAACAAGTTTTCGATCAAAATTATTCGAAGAAGACACATCTGGTACAACGTTATACTGCCACATGAATATTAATAATGTAGCTACATATTTATGCTTAATTGAAATTCAAGAGGGATCAAGTAATATGAACATTGATCATATTGAATCAAATAAGCACTAGGCCATGTTTTTGTTGAACTGTCAATGGTATCAACAGCAATTCCATATCTGTGTGAACTAATATCAATAGCATAAGTACAAATAATGGATCAGACCAATTAAAATTATCTTATCATGGAGGAGTATTAAACCAATACTCCTTACAATAAGAGTGTTTTAGGAGAGAACTGTAGCGTCGGCCATTGTTGTTGTTTCAAAGCTTATATTTTGCTTTAGACGTACCATATGATTAACCATGATGAACCATCAATTTTCAAGATGTCGCTTACATCCAGTTTTTGTAGAGGACACGTTTTGCTATATATCTATGGAAAAAAAATGACAGATTTATATCGTAGTTTTCAGAAATTTGATGGGGTTTTCCAAAGTTCTCATCAAAAATTGGTTCCAGAATTTTTTAAAAAAATCATTTCTGCTTGTGAAAAACTAGCCTGAGATGTCTGCTTTCAATTGCTGAAAACCTCAACGTTCTATCTTACACTGTTATTGAGTTATTAAAAAATGGCAACATGCACTGTATTTTGGCGCCGACAATAAAACCTCTGGGAAACGAGGCATGTTTCTCACTATTTGAACTTTTAGCTGTTCGTTTTCGTTTTATTTATAAATACCCCTGAAAATAACCGGTTTCTTCTTTCTGCGTATTTTATGAGAAAAATCCTGAGGAAACATTCTCGCTTGAAAAGTCAATAGTCTTCTTTTTATAGCAATAAAATTCTATGTAGTATAAAACTTCGAAGTCTTCACTCTTTTCAACAGGATATTTTTCAGCTTATATATACTTACCTTATATTTACTCGTGTGATTTGGCACGATCACATTAAAAGATAGAGGCGTACTTATCAAGGTCTTTTTTATTGAAAAACTAGCTTTTCTAACTAGAAAAAATAGAATTTTTGTGAAAATTGTTTTAAGTATAGCGTCTGTAATCAAAAGTTGTTAAAAAACTCAGGTAAATAGCATAAAGTGCTGTTTCATTTTAAGTAACAAAACTATTTGTTTATATTTAAATCGTGGAAACTTTTCGAACGAAGCTTAAACGAGACTACGATTTTGTCCAATTTCAAAAAGGAAAAGAAACGTTTTTTTATCAATAATTATATGAGAGTGTTAGTTTTAAGATAAAATACAAGAAAGAGATATCGATAGATAAAATTTTAAATATTAGAATTTTAATTATCATTTAGATTTTAATTGAGATGAACAAGCTATATATTGTTACTTTTTACACAATATTTCTTCTGTTATACATTACCATTATTAACGCCAATAATTTCACACCAAAGATAAAAGTTTTTGATTCTTATGGTATTAAAACAGCTGCTAATGATCATTTAATTGTTCAAGCACGAAATAATGAGAAAATATTTTCTATTCGTTTTCATAAAAATACAAAAATATTGGGTACAAATTGTTTCAATGCACGTCCAACCGCATATCCAAGAGCATTTTGAGTTTTTCTCCATGAAGAAACGGGTTTTTAAAGCTAAACTTGTGCTATTTGGATGCAGCTCCTTCAGCTCTATCAGAATATGTATAAATATGGGAAAAAAACAATACAGCTTAGACTTTGAATTAGCTGAATCTTGGCAACAAGTGACCTCTGAAAAATTGGATTTAAGCGACATCTTGAAAATCCATAGTTCGGGTTAATGATCACACGGAATCTCATGGCGGTGTTAGTTTTCAGAACAAAATACAAGAATCGAGTAAAAGCGTGTACTAGGTGAAATAACCGTTGAACTACTAGCAGGCGATAAACTTTAACCGCAACAGAAGATCATCGTCAAAGTTTTCAGTTGTCGGACAAAATAAAAGATCATCTGGGCTTTTATTACAGGGAGGAATTTATTATATGCTCTAATTTTCAATCACTTCTGAGCATCCAGCCTGTTTCGTATCGTATTCACTTTTCTGTGCAAGTTCGATGGTCTTAGTAGAATCATATATACGAAACATGTGTAATTAAACGGGCTTTAAAATGATATATAGCACATCTTTTCAAACTAATGTCTTCACAGAGTTATTGGTCAACTATTATCTATGACTATTTGCTTGCTGTGTATGTAACCCTCATTGAATGTAATAAAACGGATATAGTAGAAAAGAAAGCTGATATTCTCAAGCACCTGAAAATACATTTCGATTCCACTTTGATGCATGGCATCGCGTTCAAAATAAACATTTTTTCGTTGCGCTTCAGGTTTGAAAGTAATCGGGGTTGAGCTTTCCAGTATTTCCTTTATATTTTTTTATTCTTATAGTATATCCGCCCCGTCAAAATAAACGGAAAAGCTTGTTTTTCATCGTCCTCCATGACCATGCATTCTTTCGATCTCATATTTCTACCACTGATAGACCATGCTC